CTATTGATTTCAGATCAGAGTTGTGGAGCTCGTAATGCTGGCGTCAGAGAATGACGTATTTAGAAAACGTGTGTGTGTGTGTGTCCAATGGGAGGACTTTGTTCTATAAATATAACACGCTGACGTCAAAAGCTACAAACATTAGCTGGTCGTGCGTGCAGAAGTTTTTGAATTACGTGAAACTTAAAAAGATCCACAGTTTCACTTGGGGGTGGGTGATGAAATTAAGAACAAATATTAAAAGGCCTAATAACAAGTATTGACTTAGTGTTACTAAATGGGTCCACATGGACCTCATGTGCTTTTTAAACAAATTGGTCATTCTTACGGAAACTGACCTGTTACAGTTTTAATATGATTAAGTTTCATTATATTGTTACCAATATTTTCATAATTATAGTAATTAAGTTAGGCTTAACTGTCTCTTGGATAACTATTTAATCCACGTTAAGTTTGAATTACCCATAAACTACTGATATCAAGCTAGGCTTAACTATATCTTGAGTCATTATTTGATCCACTTTAGGTTGAATTTACTCACACACAGCTGATACCAAAAAAAGAAGGTCAAATCATTCATATTAAAAAGGATACAAGCAGTACCAGTAAGACTGATTACAATATTTGGGGGAATTTTTTGTGTGACTATTATATTATTATGAACTTTGATAACGAAGTATTGGACCTAAAAAACAATTTGGTGCATAAACAGTTTCGAAATATGCGAACAATCCGGAATAGAAAGACAACGCTATTTTTGTGACGTCCGTCTCAGATCCGTTGAAATTAAAGTGTTCGTAATGTCCTGCAATAAGAATATAAGAGACAGTTGTTGATAGGTCATCATCTTTAAATACAGCAAACTACGTGTACTACATGTTTGAGATAAATATATATGACATATACAAGTTACAGTAACTAAATATTGATACGAACAGAACTAACGCCACAAAACAAAACAAAACAAAAATAATGGCTGGTGAGTATTCGGAATACCTTAGAATACTGACCACTAGAACTTGGTGACCCACTGATCAATACTGACCACTAGAACATGGTGACCCATTGATCAATACTGACCACTAGAACATGGTGACCACTGATCAATACTGACCACTAAAACATGGTGACCCACTGATTAATACTGACCACTAGAACTTGGTGACCACTGATCAATACTGACCACTAGAACTTGGTGACCCACTGATCAATACTGACCACTAGAACATGGTGACCCATTGATCAATACTGACCACTAGAACATGGTGACCACTGATCAATACTAACCACTAGAACTTGGTGACCCACTGATCAATACTGACCACTAGAACTTGGTGACCTACTGCCCAGTACAGACTACTAGAACATGGTGGCCTACTGCCCAGTACTGACCACTAGAACATGGCGACCCGCTGACCAGTACAGTACTTACAAAAAGATAAAGCCATCAGGTTTGGTGAAACCAAGCACAAGATGAAGCTGTAACTTATGGACACGTGAAACCAAATAGAAAAAAAAGCGAAACCATGAATTCACGTGAAACCAAAAACCAGAACGTGAAATATGAAAAATCGGTTTTTAGATCCAGTGATCATCAGATAACTGTATATAGACCCGAAGAAACGTATATACATTCAGTGTTAAATTATTAATGTTCATGTTTACTCATAACTGAAACGTAAGGTGCCAACTGAATGTCATCTTCTGTGTTAAATCATACAAAGAGGTGATCCTATGCATCTTTTTATATCCGCCAGGGGGCTGACGTGGCTCGAGTGTTCCCTCTCTCTTTCTCCAACTGTCTCTGTCAGCCAGACAATTGGCGCCTCCTGTGAGGTAAATTGAAGTGATCGTCTTTCTTAATTTAAAAGGTTGAAAATTCTCAGCTCAACGTTGATGGGAAAATTGAACGAACTCTGTGAATAGAAACGCTCGGTTTCTTTCTTCTCCCCCCCTATAGGAAATAACGATGTAATTTCACCATAACAACGGAGAGCAAGACAAAATAATCACGCAATCAAATCCTAAAAATGAAATGTTGTTGTTTTTTTCTCTCACTGCTGCTGTCTGTGTTTGTTGTTATACGTTTTAATCTCTATGTAGTGGTAATTATTAGTTGGTTGCTAGCCGAGGGTTTTTTCCGAAACGTTTTTAGTTTGAGGTCCCCTAAACCTTTAGACACCCTGGCTTGAGAACTCCCCCCCCCTACACATACACACTAAATGGTGTAATAGAAATTTTAAAGAATAGCCGCTCTGTGATATCTTAACTTCATTGTAATTTGTTCCTTGAAAAGAAAAAAAAAACACGAACAACATCGTGTGGTCATATTTATTGCTGAGGCCGTCTTGTGGACCCCACTTTGGGAAAGCTGACCCCCTCCCTTCGATGTTATTACGTATATATGGACCTGGAAATTCTAACTCGAGATATTCGCTTAAAAAAAATCCAACGTGGCTCCTACTTTCTCCCCGCACCCACCTCAGAGGTAAGTTTGAAGGCTTATAACGCCAAAAACCGAGTTTCGATACCCGTGGTTGGCACAGCACAGGTAGCCTATTGTGTAGCTTTGCGTTTAACAACAAACGTACCTACTTTCTCCTAACCCTAAACTAAACTAGATGTACTTGCGCAGGGTCCCCGAAAGTGTTCTGTTTCAAGAGTAAGTAAAACCAAAATTAAGAGTAACAAATATTTTTATTTCTTGCTTTTGAAGTTCGTATGTCATGCTGTGTTGTAGCCTACAGAGTGCATAATTATTCCCATGATTCATGCCATGCGTACGTTTTACTGACGTCACGACAGTACAAATTACAACGTTAAGCGTCCGTTATGTGACGTCATATTAGTATCTACTAACTGACTGACAGACAACACGCTACTGGTGCGAATGGTTAAATCAGGTAACCCCTACAGGCGGCCTTTGGATCCCTTTCTGGGAAAATAATAAACAAAAACAACAATCTCACGTCCAGTATTCCTTCACAACCCCCACCCCCACCCCACCCCTTGAGAAAGTGTGTACACCTTCAGCACCTGATATCTTTTTTACCTTTCCTTTCTTTTATTCTTTTTTTTATACACGTGAAACATTTAAATTTCTTTATTTCGAATTGTTCGTTTTTTATTCCATTGGATGAAGTCAACACATTCATAATTTCACCTTTTCTCGGTCACCGTTAGCTAAGCTTCATACATTACAAACACACTTTCGTTTCTATTCCTTATCCCGTCTCTTCAGTTAATATTAACACAGTTATCTCGGGTTTTCCGGATAGGATAAACTTTAAAGAACGTTGGATAAATGGAAAACACAACCTCCATTCGAAACGGCACGTGTCTCGAGAGCAAGCAGCGTAGCAACAACTTATTGGAAGTATATGTAGCACGCATAGCGTATCCTTGGGCAATTAAATATCTTAGGTACGCGTATATTAACGGAGGCGATTGTGTAAAAGATTGTAAATTACGTTTTTTGTTGAGAATATTCTCGCAAAGCTACACAAGAGTTACCTGCACCGGTTGTTCGTAACCTTGAACTGACTGATTAAAGAGGAGGCAAGCCAGTCAAGAGGAACCATCGCCAAATGTTTGCCTACTCTAATCGAATAGTGGAACATGACTGTCACTCCTGTAACGTACCCACGATACCGCCAAATGTTTGTCTACTCTAATCGAATAGTGGAACATGACTGTCACTCCTGTAACGTACCCACGATACCGCCAAATGTTTGTCTACTGTATTCGAATAGTGGAATATGACTGTCACTCCTGTAACGTACCCACGATACCGCCAAATGTTTGTCTACTGTATTCGAATAGTGGAATATGACTGTCACTCCTATAACGTACCCACGAACCCCCAAATGTTTGTCTACTCTATCGGAATATGACTGTCACTCCTATAACGCACCCCCCCCCCCTTTTTTGTCATCGGGATGCGAACCATGAACTATTGGAGCCAGAGTCTAGCATGTAAACTACTAAGCCACAGAACGGAAGGATAAGGGTTAAAACAACGGTTACGGCTCGTTTTAGTTTTATTAAGACGTTTTATTTCAATATTTGATAAGAGGGTGAGCAACATGTAGGTTTACATGTTTTGAAGTCATATACATCCTCCTCGAGCAAAGTGTGTAACACTTCCTGATGGTTGGACACTCGACTCACAGACTGCAGGTCGCTGGTTCGAATCCCGTCACCGAACATGTTTGCCCTTGCAGCCGTGGGGGCGTCTAACGTGACGTCAATTCGACTATTCGTTGAAAAAAAAAATAAAGAAGCCCAAGAGTTGGCGGTGGGTAGTGTTGACTAGTTTCCTTCCCTCTAGTTTATTACTTCAAAATTAGGGACAATTAGCTTTGTACGAAATTGGATAAAACAAACAAATTCTTGTATATTCTGACTGAAATGCTACCGGGTAATATCCTGGTTCTCTTGCGTCATTTCTGTCATTTGGTTTCGTTGTAACGTGAATAAACGTAGACAGTTACTGTGGTCTGCTGCATGCCACGAGAGAGACGAAACCGCCTTTCACGTCAAAGCAAATTTCTCCAAACTTCTGCGTTGGACGTAACAGCGAGGGGCGTCCACTTGGGAGCTAGTGAAAGCAATATCCTGTAAATAACGATCTCTTCGCGCTCTTAGCTCGTGGCTCTGACGTCATGAGAACGTAACATTGTAATATCTGCTGGTGACTTAAATATCTGGAGGGTATCATTCTTAATGGAAGGTTTACGGCTAGTAATTAGAAAATCTAATTACGCTGCTTAAATGCACGTGCTTGTCAGTCTTCATTTATAAATGAAAAATTCCCGGTGACTCAGCAGTTCAAGTTGTATTTATCTCGGCGATCCGTTAGTAACAACGTATAAAAAAGATAACAATAACAACAATACCAATTGACGCAGTGAGACCAGAATCAGACGAACGTAGGCTTTACTTACAAACAATAACTCCAACACGCTTTATTATACAGCGTTTGAAAATGTTAGATATATACAAATAATGAATTAACATGTTAGTATTGGAATTACCAATAATAGTCTTCCTAATAGGATTTATGAATACAGACGAACTATTTCAAAGGAAACCTGTATGCCTAACTTATACTTGAATTATTTGTTTTTCAGGAATTATTTGAATTTCGTTATCGAAGAACTGAAGGATCCTCACAGGTAATATTTGAAATCAAGTTTTAACTAGTGCAGACGTAACTTATCTAAATCTTACTAGTGTAGACATAACGTACCTAAATTACTAGTGTAAACGTAACCTATCTAAAAGCTATTAGTGTAGACATAACTTATCTAAAAGTTACTAGTGTAGACGTAACCTATCTAAAAGCTATTAGTGTAGACATAACGTACCTAAAATTACTAGTGTAGACGTAACCTATCTAAAAGGTATTAGTGTAGACGTAACTTATCTTAAAGCTATTAGTGTAGACGTAACCTATCTTAAAGCTATTAGTGTAGACGTAACCTATCTAAAAATTACTGGTGTAGACGTAACCCGTCTAAAATTTACTAGTGTAGACGTAACCTATCAAAAAGTTACTAATGTAAACGTAACCTATCTAAAAATTACTAGTGTAGACGTAACCTATGAAAAAAATTACCAATGTAAACGTAACCTATCTTAAAGCTATTATTGTAGACATAACGTACCTAAAAGTATCTAGAGTAGACGTAACCTATCTAAAGATCTGTGGTGTAGACGTAACCTATCTATAGATTTGTGGTGTAGAATTGATCTAACTAACAATCACAAAGATCTATAAAATGTAATGTTTGGCTATATATATATAGGATGTTGGACTTCTAGTATGGCTTGTCCTTTTCTGTACGTACATATGTCTCCTTTGTAAATAAAACCAATACTCATGTCACGGGAAATATTTCTTCATCGCTCTCACAACAGTTAATAAGAATATATTTATGATTTTAAGTTAATAAGGAGTTTCCGGTTGGCAAGTCCTTAAAGAAACTTACTTATTGGCCACTCTCGATTGCTTTGAGTAAAGACAGTGAAATCAAACCGCGTTCTTCACTTGCCAGCTATTTATATTCTAATACTTTGTCTATTTATTTATTTATTTGTTTTAGAAATCTGCCCAGAGCCATCTTCATCTCGTGCGTTTTGGTGACAGTTGTGTACGCCCTAACCATCGTCGCTTTCCACACAACGCTATCAGTACAAGAAGTCTTGGGAGCAGAGGCAGTGGCCGTGGCAAGTAGATAGATAGATAGAAATAGGGATAGAGAGATAAATCAATTTGCTGATTGATAGATGAATTGAAAGTACGAAATATAGATGAATAAAAAAACAGAAGGAAACATTTGATTTCTGATATAAAAATTGTTAAGCCTTTCGTCTAGTCGTATTCTCGGAGATTTTTTTTTTTTATAATTTCAAGTCGAAGTTTGCGCAAACAGATTGACGACGTTTAGTTCGCGAAAACCCACCAATGAAAATGAAAGGATTTAGCTATTTCATAATACTTCCCTACCCCTGTAAAACTCGCTTTTCCGTCGAGTAGTGGAGTGCAACCAAAAAGTCATCATTTTCGGCTGGTGATCTGCTGCCGTCTTGAAGGATTGATTGCCTCTGTTGGCCGGAGTCGAGATTTTATCTCGGGTCGTCTGGTTATAAAGGTTGGATTGTTACCGCTCGTCAGGGTTTTCTCCCATTGGGGTTAATCATTTGAAGGGATCGAAGAAAGATGGTTGAGGTTTTGCTGACTTTTGTGGTAGTTTAATGAAATGTTATCGGTTGCTTCGTTTGTTTTGAATTTTGCGCAAAGCTACACGAGGGCTATCTGCGCTAGCCGTCCATAATTTAGCAGTATAAGACTAGAGGGAAGGCAGTTAGTCATCACCACCCACCGCCAACTCTTGGGCTAATCTCTTACCAACGAATAGTGGGATTGACCGTCACATTATAACGCCCCCACGGCGGAAACGACGAGCATGATCGGGGGGATTCGAACCCGCGACCCTCAGATTGCGAGTCGGTTGGATGGCTTTAGAAGTTTGTTATCTTTCTGTGCTCCATATCACATTGTTTCAACAGATTCGCAGGCAACAACTGCAGGCAACAACTTAACATATGAACTAAATAGTAGGTAGTTGTAATATTTCAAAAAATAACTAATTAGAAATTACACTGAGATGTTCTGTAATGGTTGCTAGACAGGACAAATAAACTGTGTTCTGTTCTTTAAATATCTTATTCTCTTTACCGACAAACTCTCGTATAATCTCGTATAATATGCAATCTGGAAATAAAAACCTTTGAAATTTTGTCATTAATCGTAAAAGAATAATTTCTAATTTTTGGAAGCGGCTAATTATGATATAGGAATTGGTGATCGTAGAGACTCCAGATCATGTACTGAAAATACAAACAATTTTTTTTTTAAGCGTTCTGTTTGTATTTATGCTTCCCGACAAACTCTCGTATAATCTCGTATAATATTAACCATATATATAAATATTATAATTTTTTCCTTCAGATATTCGCCGAACGTATATATGGGGTTATGGCATGGATCGTCCCCGTGTTCGTGGCGATGTCAACGTTTGGCGGCGTGAACGGAATCCTGTTTACTTCTTCTAGGTGCGTAAGAACTATCATTCTCTACGCTGTTCATGGCGGGGAACTGAACCCCCGAATTTTAGCGTTGTAAATCCGGAAATTTGCTACTGATCCATCGGGTGGGGGGGGGGGGGCACAGAAATAAAAGAACTCGCCCCCTTCTATCGATAGTGCTCTAATAATTATCTGTTTTTCTTTGTTTGTTACTAAGCACAAAGCTATATACAATGGGATATTTGGGCTGCACTCACCACGGGTATCGAAACCCGATTTTTAACTTCGTAAGCCGAGAGACTTACCTCTGACCCGCTGAGGCAGGGAAATAATTATCTTTATTACGTCAATTAATTTTTGTTTCACCAGTAGTGGTGTCCAATAAGAATTATCAAGTAGTTTTGTGGTGTCCAATAAGAATTATCAAGTAGTTTTGTGGTGTCCAATAAGAATTATCAAGCATTTTTGTGGTGTCCAATGAGAATTATCAAGTAATTTTGTGATGTCCAATGAGAATTATCAAGTAATTTTGTGGTATCCAATAAGAATTATCAAGTAGTTTTGTGGTGTCCAATAAGAATTATCAAGTAGTTTTGTGGTGTCCAATAAGAATTATCAAGTAGTTTTGTGGTGTCCAATAAGAATTATCAAGTAGTTTTGTGGTGTCCAATAAGAATTATCAAGTAGTTTTCTTAACGATAGTGATCGTTAAAGATTCACACATTAGGTTTCATTTAAAAATTACGACTCATTTTTCCGCATTGATTGTTTATACGAATGAGACAAATCTTTTGAGCCCCATTCTCTAACACAAATACCTAAATCTTGTAAATATTACTTTTTTTAAGCGAACGCATTAATGGTTAATATAAAGTGAAAAGTCCCCCGGTATGACAGCGGTAAGTCTAGGAATTTACAATGCTAAAATCAGGGGTTCAATTCTCCTCGGTGGACACAGGAGATAGCCCAATGTGGCTTTGCTATAAGAAACAAACAAACAAACACACATAAAGTGAAAAAACGCACTCTGGTGTCGAAGAAAAATACTAATTGTTTGTATGTTTTACCAGGTTATTCTACGCCGGTGCTTCCTTTGGTCAGATGCCTCAAATCCTTGCTATGATACAGATAAAACACCTCACGCCTGCCCCTGCTGTTATTTTTGTGGTAATTAACCATTGTTTATATTTTCTTAAATTTAAAATCTTGATCTTTAAATTTATACATGCATAATGGTCGTGTTACTGAATAATGCAAAAGATATAGATCAACTTACTTGGTGATTATTTAAAGCTGTCATCATTGCGAGGGAAGGTTTTCAATGACAAATGAAAGCCTATTTGTTGACCTTCATTCTTTGAGCTGCAGGATTATAATTAAATGCAGTTTACTGATAGTATTAAGTACGGTAAAGTTTAGCCCTAACTAAACTAAAGAAAAAAAAACGTACACAAGTTACAGTGTTAATTCATTTCTTTATCGAATATAGGCTTAACTAATGTTAGGCCTAAGACAAATGAACTTATAGAATCCGGTATCTGCGATTTGAATTCTTTTATATTATTCTAGAAATCCTGTATTTAAAGAAGGGTTGCAATAGAGATACTAATTTGACCACAAATGTTCTGTGGGTCTCTGATAGTAGTAAAGTATTGATTCGATTGAAATCTAATCGAAAGTGTTTTCTACTATTTCAGACGCTGTTGTCTCTGATCTACCTCTGTTCCAGCGATATTTACGCTCTGATTAATTATGTGGGATTTGCTACGTGGGTTGCTATTGGCCTGGCAGTGGTTTGTCTTCCTTATCTGCGGTGGAAAATGCCGTGTCTAGCTCGACCAATCAAAGTAAACATCCTTATAATTCGCTAATTATGTTCTTATCAATTGTTTATCTTGATTTTTCTTGTTAATCAATCACGAATTAGTTAGAAATGTGGTCAAGCGAGCCACTAAGTTCCCCTCACCCTAGTTGCTCACGGAACTGGGTCGTTCAACCAGTGGATCACATGTGCTGTCCGTTAGGAAAGATTGCTATAACATAGCCCCGAAAAGAATAGTATTGCTGTTTCTCGCACATAATGCCACGTTTTCTCAGTTTCGGATAGGATTTAGATTTCACACGAGTTTATAAGATTTTAAGGATAAGATCCTATCTTGATAAGATATACAGTCCAGTAAATGTGGTGAAATACACTTCTCCTTTAAGAGTGCTGTGAGATAAAATATTGTTTCATTGAGTTTAAAATCGTGTCCGGTCTCTTTCTTTGCTTCAGATTAAATCGAGGTTAAGATAATTCAGGTTCTGCTCTGCAAACATTTACTGGCGAACCCTCAGTTATTCTAGATATTAGAAGGTAAATCAGTGAATCTGAGAACAGATCGTGTGCACCACTTCATTCAATTTATCTTAGCTACATACGTCTGACTCTGTAGCTTGTTTTCTTTTATTCCGTGCTTACCTGCTCTATTCCTTGATTCCATCCAGGTGAGTATAGCCACCCGTATCCTGTGTTTACCTGCCCTAAAAGTAAATCAGTGAATCTGAGAATAGATCGTGTACACCACTTCGTTCAATTTATCTTAGCTACATACGTCTGACTCTGTAGCTTGTTTTCTTTTATTCCGTGCTTACCTGCTCTATTCCTTGACCCTACTTTCCCTTCTACGTTTACTTGCTGTATTCCATGACCTAACTACCCATCTCTCATTTTCTCCTCAGTTTACCTGCTACTTCCGCCGAGCTGACTTAAGTGTGTATACCTGCTCTTTATTTTCACCCAATACAACCACCTATCTCTTATATTCTCCTGCGATTTCCTGTTGAGACCATCCAGGTGAGTATACAGCCACCCGTATCCTGTGTTTACCTGCTCTATTCCTTGACACCATCCAGGTGAGTACAGCCACCCGTATCCTGTGTTTACCTGCTCTATTCTTTGACTCCAGCGAGGTGAGTATAGCCATCCGTATCCTGTGTTTACCTGCTCTATTCCTTGATTCCATCCAGGTGAGTACAGCCACCCGTATCCTGTGTTTACCTGCTCTATTCTTTGACTCCAGCGAGGTGAGTATAGCCATCCGTATCCTGTGCTTACTTGCCGAGGAACCCTAACCTTGAAAACACTAACGACACGTGGTTGGCTGGTTTATCCTCTAGATGTACCAAAACAACGAATAGTATATAAAAGTTCGTGATTTAAATACCTGTGGTGAGGTAAGACCTTATGTGGAAAAATAATTATTGATGAAAATGAAATCACTGTTTGTCGAGAATGAGACCCCTTCCAGGACTGTAAAAACTGAAAAAATCAACCGTTTCTTAGGCTAAAAATCAGAAAAAACCACAAAACCCTACCCTTTAAAACAGTGCCCCCCCCCCCTCCGGGAAAGACCAAGGCCTGTTCAAAAATGTTTTACTGCAACAACAAAATCCAAAGAAAGAGACCTTTCAGGACAATAAAATTGAATAATATTGGAATGTGCAGTATTAGGCCTCACTCAATTTTCTAATTAATTATATATATATATATAAGAAGTAATTTAGGCTTAATTATAATTAGTAAACTGCTTATGAGTGACTGCTATTTAAATTATCATACAAAACAAGAGACGTTTACTTTCAAAACGTATCGATATTGAATGTTATTCCAAAACATTTATGTGTACTTATTGTTTTTGTGGGATTTCCAGGTGAACTTGTTTTTCCCAATAATCTACATTCTGGCAACTCTGTTCATCACCTTTGTCCCGATGATTGCTGACCCAGTTGGAACAGGTAGGTGACTCACCGGAGAAACGGTTGTGATAGACAGATTCGTATGAAGCTGATAGATAGAATTATACAATTTGTTTTGTTTTTGAATTTCGCGCAAAGCTACACGAGGGCTATCAGCGCTAGCCGTCCCTAATTTAGCAGT